GATGTAAGTACTAACCTACTTGTTTAGTTTTGTTTTCGTGCTACAGTAAGCTGCTCTAATTCAATTTGTTACTTGTATTGTGCCATAAAAGTAGCGCCAAACACGTATAATTTCGTTACATTTATTACAGCTAACACGCAGTAATGGTCAGGGCAATTTCTCGTTTCCTCGACTCAGTCACGCGATCGAGTTCAATCGAAGTACAATAGGAACGAGTTTTCCAAAGACCAACGAGTTAGCTCTCAGAACGCTAATGTGTTGAGCGATTAAAACAGATTTATAATGGATTGAGGGACGTTGGAGGATGGATGAAAAAAGGTGTGATTGGAAAAATAAGGCATTCTTAATGTGCCCATATAATTCTTCTGATAGCATTAGTAACTAAGCTTCTTTTAGGAGATTGAGTTTCCGACACAGAACTTATTACCCTTTTCAAGTGTAAGCAAGTGTAAGAGTTCTATTAATAAAACAAAATAAGTAAATCAATAGTCTTAAGAAGGCTGCCGAACCAACATGTTTCGGCATCACTACACTTTTAAAAACCACCAGTAATCAACTGTAAGTAAAAAGAAGTGTCACTATGATGACATTTAATTACCAAATATTTTCTAAATTAGACAAACTCCTGGTTGTTCATAGGATATAATGAGATTTTAAAAGTATAGCAATGAGAAAATATACTCTGATTAATACAGCCATAGAATATTATGCATTTTAAGTATGAAATCTTAAAAGGTTTTTGAGAGATTTAGGGTAACGCTTTAAGTTTTATACTTGGCCGCCAACTTTGATTTTTCTTATGGAACACCCTGTATTTTATGATGTATTCTGGTAGAAAAAAAGACGATTTTATTCTTGTGATTTTTTTCATAAACCTAACCGTTTCAAAGATAATAATGGTTTAAGTTGTGAAATTTTGAATGGTTTTCGAACAAAACAGCTGGCATGCTTGCTTAGGCCTTTATCGAAACTCTATCTCATGCAGAAATTTCAAAACTTTAACCACTATTATCTTTGAAACGGTTAGGTTTATGAAAAAATCACAAGAATAAAATCGTCTTAAAATTACTTTTTCTACCAGAATACATCATAAAATATACGGTGTTCCGTAAGAAAAATCAAAGTTGGTGGCCATATTGGAAAAATGGCGGCTAAAATAATTTTTTTGACTTTGACTACAATTTTTTAAATAAAAAATCCAAGGCACTTACCATTTAACTTTTTTTGATATCTCTTATAGTTTTCGAATAAAACGGCTGGCACACTTGTATCAATCACCCTGTATTGATGATGTGGTTGCATACAGAATGACCTGAAAAGTTCTAAGGAACAAAACTAATCGTCAAACCAACAACTGTGGGTGGGTTATTTAATCATTCTATTTTATCAATAATAAATTCCAACCAAAGGGCACAATGAATAATATATAATTTAAACCAAAATTAATATTTTACTTTACAATAAGGAACTCTATTTATAGTCGTATTTTAACAGCTTGAGAATTTAGTAATCCAGGGGTGAAATAAAAATAAAAATATGATTAGTTAACTATTATTACTACTGATTACAGCAACCGTACTGTACCGGCTTTTTAGCAACAGCTGTCCGTCGAACAGCTGATTGATTGTTAAAGTTTTTCTTCAGCGTCAAGCCTGTAAAGACAGGCCAAAGTTAGCGATCTGTGTGCAAGTGCAGTGAAAGTTTAGTTAGTCTCTTGAGAATTAGTTCATTCCTGTTTTTCTTGAATAAGCTGTGTTTTTTCCACCTATAGCTTTACACGTGTTATAATTTGAAATGAGTGTAGCCAACAGGAATAGTTTTCCATGTTAGTTTTCCATTTTAGCGAAAATTAACTCAAACTACAATTAGATCAGGTTAGAATTTTAATTTTATATGATTTTCATAGCTAATTATTGCAGGTTTTTAACCTGCGTTTTCTGTTGCCGATCAATCTTTCTATTGAAGAAAAGGTTGACAGTGCTTCTTTAAATAGTTTAAATTTAAATTTAATTTAACAATGCATCTGGATTATCCTTATTTCGATTAAATGTATCCATCATGCAGTAAAATCTGCTCCCATTCAACGCAAGAAAAAAATTTGAGATCATATAAGTCAGCGACAATTTTTTCACAATACACACTATATATCTTGCTATATTCTTACTTTTTAAAAGTATAAATAATCTTTCAAAAATATTATGATTAAAGGACTTGCGTGATGTGCGTATTATTAGCTCATATTCATCCTTGGAGGCCAAAGGTGGGGTAAATCATGGTTGATTATACCCTCTAACAAGTAAGATGTGGAAAACGACCCTTGCTATTACTTCGTGCCATATCAAGGTACACACTGAGCGAATAAAGTTGTACAAATTTGGGGGGAGAGTTGTTTGGTTACAATTTAGAGGTCTACCATAAAAAATAATAAATTTTAAAGCTAGATTTACAGCATTAGTTCGTTTAAAAACGTATTTTATTTTATATTTTGTGAGTTTTCCCAGTTAAATTGTTTAGTGAACAGGAAACAGTCTGAACCCTGGGTGACGGTACTATTTAACGTCGACCTTTTGTTAGACAGCATCATTAATTTTAATTGATAAGATCATTAATTGATAAAAAACATCTTGGTCTGTAATACTTCCTCAATCTGCATCCAACTACGGATATTTGAATGTGAACACTATAACTCGGTGGCCTAGAATGTATCCTTTTTTCTTGTATCATACTGTTGAGTTTTTAATTCACAATGAAATTTGATGGTTGCCAGTGAAATCCTGAATGTATCTAGTCGGAAACTAGTATCTAGGTGAGTCGGTGGCTCAGTCGGTAACGTCGCGGACTTCGGACCCAAGGCAGTGATGTCGTGGGTTTGGATCCTGATCATTGCCGCAAACATTTTATCAGTACAGTTCACCTTTGTACATTGTACTGTACCGGCTCACCCCTTGTTATGCTGGATACGTTCCACGCACAGATCTGTAGTCTATGTGGACGAGCAAATGCAAGGTTAAAAGAGGCGGCCAACCTCTTAAAAAAAAGTTACGAATTTGATACTGTAGAAAAAAATATTGAAGCTATACCGTATAGTAATAACTAGAGCTTAAAACCTTCCATTATAATAGCTTTAAAAAGTTACTGGTGTAGAGAGATATCAAAACTAAACACAACAATTGTATAAATAAAAATATATTTTCAATAGTGTTGGAATAATGTTAAACAATTATTTAAATTAAGCGTAATTATAGTCATTGTCAAAATTAAAGCCTATATCGGTTAACTAATTAGTATCCAATTAAAAGGCCATGTCCTTATTGACCAAATGTCCCAATGATGTTCCGCTTAATTTTCTCCATTTCACAGTATGGCATTTTAATACCTATATTCGATACTTACATAAAATTATATATATATACCGTGCGTGAAATTCTTATACATTTTGTTAAAATATTCTCCTTTGAATTTAGTATCATTGTGTCCGACTTGTTGAAATAAAAAGAATAATGTATTTATATAGTTAGTTGTGCATGTTTGTGTTGTTATATTTTTATTGTATTTATTGTCATATTACTACCTCATAACTTAAATCAAGAAGAGTAATACAATCTGAAACTACTGTTTGTCTGTTTGTTCTTTGTTCTTTGTATTGAAATCTCCGTCGAAACACCTTTACTGTAAAATTTACTATTTAATAAGACAGAAACATAGAGTTGACACGAGTGTGATCAAACTTTGCCGGACACACAGACTAAAGTTTGTATGATGGAACTTGTCTCCTTACTCTCCGTTTACCCGGGACTAGAGGTTCAGTAGACAGGTTCCGTCATACAGACTATAGCCTGAAATTTTACAATAGAGTGTGAGGTCACTTTGCAATATTCGAAGTTACGGTATCCTAATAGTTTTAGCGAATTTCCCTATAGGGAAGTAGCTATTACCGTAGGTGGCACGGTAAGACCTAGACCCGGGACCGATTTACTTTTTCATTTTGATGTCCCCAGAGGCCAAAAACACTAATCGTTCAAATTTTTATATATGTATATATATATATATATAGACATATATATATATATAGACATATATATATATATATATATATATATATATACGTCCGTGAACGCAATAACTTGAGTAATTTTTGTGCGATTTTGATGAAATTTGGTTTAAAGGTGTAAAGCGGGATAAACTTGAATGAGTTCGCGAACCAGCATGATCGGACCATGGGAACGGGGCTTTACGGGGGGTTTTATGGGGTAAAAATTGTTTTTTCTCACTGTTGACCCTCAAAACACAAAATTTCCCAATTTCTCTTTAGACCATTTTAAAGAGCTTAAAAAACAAATAATTTAGTATATAAAAGTATTTTTGTTCGATTATTTGTAACGGAGAAAATTAAAAAAATTTAAAATTTAAAATTCCTATGTTATTCTTATGGAGAATATTGTCAAATGTTGTAGTTTGCTTGTTTATGAATATATTTTGATCAAACTTGGCAAATTTATTTATTTTCTACTAAGCTATCAATATTTTACTCAAAAACACACTTTATTTTAGTTTCCTTGTAGCAGCAAACCTAGGTACTCGTTAAACCTAATGTTATTAAAATATATTTAACTGAAAATCAATTCAGACAAATGGAAATTCGCTTAGTCGGCAGGTTTGCTGCGGCGGGGGTATTTTTTATATAATTGCATTCATTGTGTGTTTTTTCTAGTAAATTTATTTATAAACTTTTTTCAGTAGGCACACAACAAAATAAATCACGATGTAACAACACAAAACTTACTTGCTAGACATGAGACACATATTAAAACATGATCCAGACTTTATAGTCGGACGAGAAGACATCGATGTACATAGTCTAAGACTACTGAAACAGATTATAGACCATTAATAGTTTATAATGGTAATAATAACCATAATGGTCTATTGTATGTGCTACAGATAATACCCAAAGCGAGTTATATCTCTCTATATAGTTCATGGATATTTTTCTTTTTTAGGATCGAGTGGGAACTACATAACCCGTCAAACGAACGTAAGTTATACTTTTCATACATTTATATTTTCAAATTATGAAATATTTTGGAATCATTTAATACTTTCCATGCAAAATAAACTCTGTCTGTGAAGCAAGGGTCTGGCTCGCCTTCCTGAATCACAAGCAGGATCGACTCTAGACTCGAAGACCATTAATATGTCATCGGCCTAAGTGGTGCTCTCCATAACATTTTTAATGTTAAAGTAAAAATGATGGTGTAATGACATCTTTTCCACGTAAATAATACCACAGGCAAAAAAACACAAAGAAATGTAAAAGTACCACACCTTAAGAGTTTCCAAAGTACTTAACACTTTGATTGTGTTGTCTTCAAACATACAGCGTAGTTTTGACCTAGTACAATGCTTCTGGATATCATTGTGTTGATGACAATACATTTGATCTATGGTGATTTGACATTCGCGTGCCTCACAGCCTAGCATGTGACACGGACTGTGCTTCCATGGCATCATGGTACGAGAAGTAATGGCTTCAGTAGGCAACAGGAACGTAGGGTAAAATATGTACACTACGCTTTAGAAATGTACATTAAAATAAAGTTAGGGACAAATTGTTTGGAAATCAATTTAAAACTATGATCTATGATAATTAGTAAGATTTTTACCAATTTATCCCTGAGTTTAACTTGTACATTCTTCATGTAACCCAGTTCAGTTAGTGTAAACTCCAGCTTACGGGTAGGATGTTATTTATTATCTTAATATTTAATCTATTACGATTCAAAAATGTTTCAAACCCTTTCAACAATTATTATTCGTATGATTTTGTCAGACCTATAAGCAAATAAATAGCAGGGAGTTTGTGAGATGGCTAGCTGAGTGGTTATAATGCTCGCCTAACAATCTGAAGGGTGCCGGAGAATTTTAAGCATTTATAGTTTTATTTTATGAACAGAACTATCGATCCTGAGAAAAGTCAGTGTTTTTTATGGTTCAAAAATGGACCCAGCTGTTCCTCATCATTTGGCTTTAAATAAATTAAACAGCTGATCTTAATCAGTAACAAAACTACACAGATCATCTCACTCATGTTTTTTGGATTAAAATACGCACCTAGATGGTTTCCCCATCTCAATGATTGATAATATTATTGATTATTTGTATTTCGCATAAAAATTGAATTGCATTGGGTTATGACACTTCATTTTCACGTAAGGTAATGTGGTGGGAAAATGAATACGAGTTTCTTGGGCAGAAGTCCCTTGTTCAAACCTTAAACATGACTAATCATTCCTATCTAAATCTAGGTGATCTTCATTTCTTTTTAAGATATTGGAAATTGAATATACAAAATGTTTGATACATCTAACATTTGAAAATATTGGTGGGAAAGTACTTTCTAATAATTATTATTCGTACACATACAATTGTACACAATTTTATACAAATAGTTACAACCTAATAGCTATATAATATAATAGTTATATATAATAGTTATATATAATAGTTATAAAATACAGAAAGGAAATATTAAATTCTGCAAACGAGAGATGGGTATGACATGACTGGGAAACGAGAGACAAATGAATACCAATTAGAACCCTTTTGTTCTTAATCGACTTTTCATTGCCGCGAAATGGACGTTTTGTTCTTCTTGAGTATGTAGCGTTTGGAGAGATTATGTTTGGTTTGCCTGTTAAAAACTGATTTACTGCTTTATATTATTGAAACTAATGCACTCTAAATATTTTTATCTATGATTATTGTTTTTTTGACGTGCTGCGATGACGATTTCAATTCATGTTTATGATGTTCGCCATGATTTTGTTGTTGATTATGATAGCCTATGAATGTTAAATATATGATCAATATGATGATTATGATGTTGATACTGCGATATTTAGATTCTGATGTGGTTACGGGTGATAATAATGTGTGATCAGGAAGAAAAGTTATTCACGTCGGATGAGTAAAAAAACCTAATTTTTGTCGAAGTTTTTTGTTTATGTATAACCATTTAACAAAACCTTTTACATTTCAAATTTAACGATGATAATATCTTTCCTACGCCTACTTAACTAATTAATATTATTGAAATGAACCTCTGCTTCTTCATGATACTTTCCTGGTGGGATGCATTAGTGGAGTGGAATCTAAATGATAATTTTGTTTATTTAATAAAAAAGAAAAACAGACTAGGAGTATATTTCTAGTATTTATGTGTTCTATTTATATTAATAAATTATAATTTAGTTAAATTCATTTCTGAATGTTGTTAATACAGAAGGAAGGTTCTTAATTTGTTATAAAGATGCCGAAAGGGCAGACAAAATGTTTCTGATAATGGAAATGCTGAGCTTTAAGACAAAAGAAACTAAATCTGCACTGATTTTGCTTGGCATACATCCAAGTTGGCATTTTCTTTTCTTAATTTATCGTTGTTTCGTTAAGTGCGTATTATTTCAAGAATGAATATAATTATTTTTCAACCAGATAATTTTAATGTTATTTCATGATGAAGATTATAATGACATATACTGTAACATAACTAAATATTTATGGATTACGAAACTAGACGAAATCTTCTTAAGGGAACAATGGTTAACATATATTTTAAGTATGTAGGAATCAAGTTAGTGAAATGTGTTTTTAACTGCAATTAATTCGAGACTGAGAGGTTCTCATCAGATTGATCTAGAAACATATACAGTATGTAGACAGAATATACTATATGCAGAAGTTTTATCTGTGTTTCCACATGTTTGACATTTGTTAACCTCTTTTGTGGGGGAACGGTCCAAACCTTGGTCTTGTTTATGTCTAACGTCGTATACGACTCATGAGTTTATACTGGCAAATGAAATAGCCGAGAAGTCACCTTTTTACTTAAAGGTTAAGAAAATGTCTCAAAATACAATTTAAATGCGCTGTAAGTTTCATTTATTCAAATAAACTTAAACAAAAATAAAACTAAAATTAACTACACATTCATCAACCATAACCAGATTTGATTTATTATAACAATCATGCATTTAGTTGTACACAATTAATTTGTCCATTGCATTCATAGTGTTCAAGGAAGTATCAAGATAACAAATAAACCAATTATGTGACAGAATATTTTTCTCACAAATCAATGAAACACAAGGATTTTTAGCACCTTCTCCTAAGCCACAACAGGCGAAGGATCTAAAATTACTGGACGAACCCAACCAACAGAGAGGGCTAATCAGATGACACAGTTAGTGCAGAGTTATTTCTGGCCCAGGATCGATCCTTGCGGCACGCCAGCCTAGTCCTGGCCTCCACGTTTCCTTGTAAAGGACTCTTTTAAAATAGGAGTAGGATTCGATAAGGATAATATTAATATCGACAACATTTTTTTATTCAAAGGTTGAATTTATTTGGCTTACTACAAATAAGAGAAACAAATTCTCAAATATGTATTTCTTGAGAACTATGCAATTGTCCTTCCAGTGTTACCAAACTATATTTCTTGACATTTTGTTAACAGTAATAGATAAAAAAAAACTATAATATTTAAAATTAAAAAGTGAAAATCTAACTAAATGTAAAATGGAAAATAATCAAAGGATTAATTTAACAATATTGACATGACCTAAATTAAGCTCCTCCCAAACATTATATTACTTAAAATTCAATTTGATTGCAAAGGTTTCCACTCTTCTGGTCTGACTTTTTCCTCTTCAAAACCCTTTACAAAGTACGTCAAAGGAACGGTCCATTTTTATTTTACAATTCCATCCGACCGACCAGTTCATTTCACTAATTAAATAAAAGACTTGACATCACAAACAATCATTTTTTTTAAATTTCTATAAATAAAACAGCAATTGAACTATACGACAGATATTACAAACACGATACATAAAATGTAACATAGTTTACTAATTTACGATTGAATTTCAACATGAAATTAAAGTTCTTTAATGGCTTTTCATGGGGAAATTCACACGTGTCATTAAACAAAACAGACATTATCATCTCTCCTAGTAGACCCATAATTATTAAATAGACTAACCAACCAACAGTGAGTACGACTTGTTACGGAAACATCATGTAGCAAATTACCATTGGATGGAATTTTAACCTGGTACTTTAATCCAGGTTCGGTGACTCATCTGAAATAATTACCCACAGGCTTCACCACTTTTGACTTCATAAGTATTAATAAAACTATCGATTGGTTAAGTTAATTTAAAATAAACAAAAGTGAATACACTATTAAAAACAAATAATCACACCAGATTTTAATAAGGTAATAAATTGAAAGAAGTTTCTCATATGGTTTATGGGGTGTGACTTGCAGTTTTCTCAAAAGTTCATGGGTACTTTGGGATTTATATTGTAATACTAAACATGTAAACGTTTACCTCTCTTCTAATTACAGCACAATGTGAGCTTATAGTTTCTAGAACACAAAGCTGTGTGCAATATGTTTCAATGTGTTCTAATTTGAATTCATTTGCCCTCATTTGCCGCTTGTGTTACCCCACTTACACCTATAACGGTGGGTAATTTCATTCCCATCCGGTAATTAATTGGCTTATTCATAATTTGATTTTGAAGTTCGGTTGGTGTTAAGTTTACATTGCATCTATATATCGCCACAGAATCATGTGAATCATAGTATTTTCTAACGATAAGTAAAGTACTGCGATGTTCTCAAGTATTGCCCACAATCTACATGGTTTTGATAAGAATTCTAAATCTGTGTCTTATATATGTATGTACTAGCAGAGTACCCGTCCTTCGTACGGGGTTGGCATATAAGTATAAAATGCTTATTGCAGTTACACTCGAGCTTTGCATTTGCTATGGGGAGGACACAGTTTGATACAATTTGCTTCTTTAAATTTACGATGTACTATAATATTACAAATTTACCATAGGTATAATGTTCTACCACTTCACCAAAACAATAGAGAAATATACATTTTTAAGAATCCGCAAAAAAGTACAAATTTTTATGAAATTAATAACACAAACATAACTGTAAACAATCCTACTTTGACA